TCTGCAACTTTTTAACAAGGCTCTCATTTGCAAACAGCTTTGGAGGATTGCCTCCAACCCAAATCTGCTAGTCAGCAGAATCCTTAAGGACAGGTACTTCCCAAATTCTTCCTTAGCAAATGCTACTTGTAGTCCTAGTGGATCCTGGATGTGGAACTGCTGAATGAAAACTTTGCCTTTCTTTGCTCAATGGCTAAAGATAGAAATCAGAAATGGTGGGAGCACTAGAATATCTGACATGAATTGGATTCCCAATCACAGTAAGCCATCCCCTTCTCTCATTCCTATTGCTAGAGGGCACTTGCTGTGGGTTAAAGATTTGCTGAATGAAGATGGCACTCAATGGAACTCTTGGCTAGTGAGACAAGTTTTCGATTCCTCTGACAGCATTGCAATCCTAAACATTAACTCTCTTCATCCTCACAGAGAGGATAGACTCTTTTGGGGATTACACAAGAAAGGTTGATTTTCTGTCTCCCATACTTATGCTCACCTAATCTCTCTCAAAGCACAAAGTGCTGACTTCCCTGAAAGCAGCTCATCTCCTGCTGCTAAGAAATCCATCTCTTACAGACATTGGAAGACTAAGATAGCTGGGAAAATTAAGCATTTTCTTTGGAAGTGCCTTTCAGGTTCCCTGCCTGTGACCACACAATTGAACAGAAGAGGGCTTGAGCTGGAGACCACTTGCTCTCTATGTGGGGAGGCAGCTGAAATAGTAGAACACATTTTTTTCCTTTGCCCCAGAGCTACTAAAGTTTGGGAGTTAAGTCCTGTCAAGTGGGATGGACTCCATAGCGACACTGACTCCTTCAAGGCATGGTGGTACAAAATTTGCTCTTTAGATCTCACTGAAGTTGCAGAAGCAAGAATCCAACTAACAACTTACATGCTTTGATGGCTATGGAGGTCTAGAAATTTGTGGTTGTTCCAGCAAACCTTGATCCAGAGCACACTCTAGTGAAGATGGCCCAATCTGACTGGATGGAGTTCTCCTCTTTGGTTTAGCCTCTCTGTCTCTCTTTTGGTTTTTCAGTTCTCTTTTTTTTTAGCTTAGTTCCATGGATCCACCTTGCTAGGCCTTATGGCAGTGGCTGGAGGTTTCTTTGGTTTTCTGTCTTTGCTTTAGTTTTGTGTCTTTCCTTGGCTGGTTAGTTCTTGTTGTTTTGGCTTGGTTTTGTTGCTGGAGTTGTTGTTGTTAGGTTGTTGAGGCTCTAGACCGCTTTGTTTAGCGTGTCTCTCACTTTTTAGTTCCGGTTGTTATCTTTGGTCCTTGTATTCGAACTATGTTTGCTTTCGAGTTTTATAATAGTTTCACCTATCGTTTTGAAAAAAAAAAAAATATTTTTTCTCATTAATTTTAGATTTTAAGAAAAAAATTAGCAAACACCCGTGTAATACACGGGAGTTGTACTATTATTATATATTAATACAGAACGCGCTGAGCCTACGTGGCTGCTTCTGGTGCTTCGGAATCCTATGTGGCAAAATTACATGCTTCGTTATTAAGTTTGGGTAAATTTTAATTTAATTTCAAACCAAAAATAATTAGGTTCGGATTACCATAAATATGTTGATTATTTGTGGTCATGTTACATGTATTAATTGTATTTTAATATCATTCCTTAT